TTATGTTTGGTTAAGTTCTGAATATAGAGATTTAAATGTACTGGAAGTTCTTCTGCTATAAGTTTTATCTTAAAATTTTTTTAATATAGAGAGTGTTGGGTTAGTGTAGAGAGCCAGTGGTTTATCACTGTATGATATATAGTTTAGTGTATCTGTTCAAAATATATCTGGTATATTTGTAACTAGATATGATATATATTGTTGGTTTATCCAATGTAGATGGTTTGTAATTGCAGTAGTATATTTGAGTATTGTTTTGAGTAAGTAGAGGCTGTATATTGATAAAAGAAGTGAGATAAATCAATTGTGTAAAAAATTCTGTAGAGTAATATTTAGAGAAAATAGAGGATCTGGTTTATTATCTATTAATAGATCTTTATCCAGTTGTATATCTATTGTGATGTCAACTGATATAGTTTTTAGCATAAGAAGTAGGTAATCAAAATGTTGTTTATCAAAATAAGCAAAGTTATGTAGTAAAATTTGGTTGTATTTGGTTATTAAATTTCTAAGTATGTTGCTACTTGTAAGTAACGAAATGTGTGTTTGTAATGCTAAAGTAGATATTATAAAAATTAATAATGTTAGTTGTGTATTTGTATATAATGACTATAAGGTATTATAGCATCCTAATGTTGTTTTTGATTTGGGAAGATAGTATTTGGCTACAATAGTATTATTTTCTATATTTTTTTTTGTTGTATACGTAAGATGAATTTCTATATATTTCTCTAATATATTTATCTTTGTTAGAGAGTTCTATAATGAAGTTAGTGAATAGTCAAAAGCATTAAGAGATCATAAAAATATCTCAAATTCAGGTATGTAGATTGTTTGTTTTATTATATTAATTGTTTTCAGAGCCTTTAATATATTACTTAATCTTGCATGAATTTTGTATGAAGTATGTTTGCTGTTGTTATGAAGTAGCATTTCTTGTTTTGAAAATTTGAACTTTTTAAGTAACATCCAGAACATGTTCTCAATATATTCTGTGAGGTTAATATATAGTGTTTAACTCGTAATTTTATATTAGATATATTGAAGATTTTTCCAATATTGCTGTCTTTTGTGATAATCTAGCTCTTTTTAGTTAGAGTTTATAGGGCGATTGTGAAAGAGTTTGAGTAAATTATTTGTATAGATGGATTTGCAGTTAAAGCTATAATTTCTTGTATTGTAGAGAACTATTTAGGTATTCTGCCACATGAGATTTTCTTAATATTGTTATATACTTCAGTTCAACTTAGTAGTTCAGTATTTTCATAGTCAAGAAGTTGTTTTATGCAGTTTATTTCCAAGTTGTTGAGCTTTTTTTAAAGAAGGGACTATTCTTTTGTCCTACTATAATTGAGTTAATTAGAGTACCTTTTAGTTTTTGTAGAACTGGCTAGTTGTTATAGTATCGAGATATTGTAAGATTTAAGAGATGGATAGCTATAACTGCTTGTGCTATGTATGTATTATTTTGGTAATATAGAAATACTAGCAGTAGGCTTAAGATTAAGACATCTGTTTGTGCTGAATTCTGTAGGTGTTGTAGATATATTTTAAGGAATGAGGAGTTGAAATTATTGTTGTTTAAGTTTTTTAATAGAGTAGTCGCAAGTGTAGAAGTTTAGACCTGTATTAAATTTTTTAGTGCATATATGTCTAAATTAAAGAGAAAGAAGTTAGGAACGCTATGAGCTAGTCTTGCTTTATGTTTGACAATATTGGTATAGATTCTTGTAATATTGTTTAATTGATTTGTTAAGAGTGATGAGGAGTATAGCCTATATTGAAGTCATAGAAGCAATATATTATTTATAATATATATAGCTTGTTTTTCTGTTATTTGAGCTATTTGTAATTTTTTTAAGTTAAGTATCATTTCATCAGAAATTTTTTTTTGAACTATATTGAGTTGTGTATTAAGAGAAAACTATGTCTCAAGATACTTGAATAGTGTTTTTTGCTCTATCACTATTATTGTATCATTAGCGAAGCTAATAGATCTATCAGATATCTCCAAATTAGTAATCAGAATTGATTTAGTTGAGTTGATATGAATGTTGTTGAGTTTGTAAAATGAGTTAGTGACTTTTAGGATATCTGATAGTGATTCTTTGTCAGGAGCAATCCAGAATAAATCATCTATATATACTATTATAGAACTATGAATGATCTTATGTAGCTGCTGTATTTTTGAATGTTTTTGAAAGCCTAAGAATTCTTTATGTATTCAGGAGATTAAAGGGTCGTAGTAAATCTTTTAGAGCAAGGGAGAGAAGGTCTTTCCTTGGTCTATTCCATCTTCAACATAGTAATATTTTGTAAGGCCTAATGAGGTTATAACTCTATTATGTCTATTAGTAAAGAGTGATGTTAAAAGTTGTATGAAATCTTCTGATATATGAATTCTCTCTAATGCCTTATATAGTGTTGGTAGGTGACAGAATCAAAAGCTTTTGACATGTCTTGTAGAAGTATTCAAATTTCTTTCTTTTCAGTAATAAAGTGTTCGATGATGCTTATTAATTAAGAAATAGGCTGAAGTATTGATTGATAAGAGAAAGCTACAAAGTTTTGAGAAGATAAGATTTCATTTCTAGTGATTATGAGAATAAGTCTATTAGTTAGTATCTTTGTAAAGAATTTTCTTATGTGTTCGATTAAAGTAATTGGTCTAGTTGTATTTAAATCATAGTTGTATTGAGGTTTTTTTGAGATTAGCTAGATGTTTAAGTCAGTCTATTGATTTGATGTAGTTTGGAGTATAAGGCAAGTGTTTATTATATCTAGAAGATAAGAAATTGCTACTAGTAGTAAATGTTACAGAATTTCATTTGAAATTCCAAGCAGTCCAGTAGCTTTATTTTTTAGTGCATTAGCGATCATTTGTAATAGATCTTCTATTTTTATTAGGACCAAAAAGTTATCGAATATGTGAGGTTGTATGTGACTTAGTGGTTCATAATATTGTTCCCACTTATGCCAGAAGTCTTCATTTGTTTTATTTTCTTTTGTCTAGTTTTTGAAGTATTGTTGAATCATCTCCTTGATTTTGTTAGGTTCAGTTATTAATCTATTATTTAGAATAATTTTTTCATAATTAACTTGGTCTGTGCATCTTTGCAAGATACTGTCTATTATTCTTGAAATATTGTCTTTAAAATCAGTATATCTGCAGTTAGTATAGAATTTAATTTTTTCATTCTGTTTATTTCTTTTTTTAGTATTACATACTTGCCAAATTATATGTTTGTATTTTTTAAACTTAGTAATAGTATTGTCATCTCTATTATTATATTCATCTTGGTTCATACTTGAGATAGTTAAGTTAGCTAGTGATGCTGCCTTTGAAATATGTTTGTTCAATATGTCTAAGAAAATATTTGGTTTAGTTGCTAGTAGGTTTAGAGCTTTGTTGATATTTGTTAGAGCAGAATACAACTTTGTTGATTTTAATAAGATTGAGTAGAAGGTTTTAGATGCTATATATGTATGAGGAATATGTTTGTTGATAGCTTCTCTTATATTTTGAGACCAGATATACCAGAGCTTGTTAAGAGTATTCAGGTTTAAGTAATTTTTTGAGTCTGGAGAAGAGTTCATAAGGATGTCTATAGTGTTTGAGAATTCTTTCCAATTCTGTTCCTTCATTTTGTCATAATGGTATATTTTCCTTTTCTTTTTTTTTCTGTTTCTTGAAAGTATAGTAAATCTTGTATACTAGGTTGTGTTTATTATTTTATAGTCACTATCTGAAATTCTAATTGCATTAGATAGTGTTGGAGTATTCAGGTCAAGTAAAATATCACTTGAAGCCCAAATATCATCTATTTGACTAAAGAGATCTTGTCATTGCCAAGTAGGAGCTAATATATTAGAAATTCTAATAAGCTTAAAAAGCTGGTGATTTGTAATTTTAGGAATATTATATATTTTTTTTTCTTAGTATTGATGTTTACATTAAAGTCTCCTATAATTAGTGAGTACTAGTTTTTAGTTTTAATTTCTTCTATCCAATTGTTTAGCTACCTTTGTGTTCTCATAAGTAATTCATCATGATTTGAAGGAAAGTATGCTGAGACTATGCAGATCTTATTGTTGTTAAAGAATTAAAAGTTTATTTGAATTAGTGTTCCAGGATATGTTAAGATATTTCTTATATATAGTGTTAATGAGTAATGTATCATTAGAGCTGTTCTTAGGCTTGTTTCCTTCTGTTGTTTTTGGTATAGAATAAAGTTAGAAGTAAAAATTTTATAGATTGGATTTGTGAGAGTAAATTCATTTGTATTTTTGAGTTTAGTCTCAGTTAAAGAGATAATATGTAAATTATTTTCATTGCAGTATTGTATCTAGTTTTGTAGTTTAACTAGGTTATTTAGTCTTTGAATATTATGAGTTGCAATTTCGATTTTTTTATTGATATTAGGATTGTTGTGTTAAGTTTCAGTATCATTAGAGTGGGTAAAATTATTTGCATTATTGTTCATAGTCTGACTTAGGAGTTTCACCTATTATTGTGTTATCATTATCTGACTTAGTACTATATGTGGAGTTATCGAATATGTTCCATTCAGGGAATGGTAAGTTAGGAAGAGCAAAAATGAAGTTAGAAAGATTATTGTAGTAGAAGTTTTCAGTAATAAACCTTGTTATTGATAGTATATCCTCATACTTTGTAATTAGAAGATCTAATTTTTTCTCTGGCTATTTTTGTTGGACTGTTTAGATCAAATCTTGTAGATTATTTAGAAGAGTATCGAGAAGTATAACTGTTGATAATATATATTCAACTAGTAAAAAATGTTTAAAAAATTGTCTTGAAAATGTCTGAGTAATATTACTAATATACACAACTAGTGCTTTTGAATATGAATGACTAACTCGATGAAAATTAACTATTATAATTAAATTATTCTATAAGATTCCACTTTCAATACTAATACCTTTTTCTTCACTTTAACTTTGCTCACTACAACTTGAAATATCTGTTTCAGATTCATAACTCTCAGCTAATATATTGTTATTATCATTATAAGAATCATAACTAGTACTTTTATTGGTTACAAACTTTTTACGAACTGCAGAAGCTTCAATTTCTATCTCTAGATTATTATCAAGACTCACTATCTACTGATTTTTGAAGGATGCTATACGTAAAACTATAGCAAATATTTATTTGTTTTTTATTTGTTTCCAAAAATTGAACAGGCTATTGTTTTATCTATAACTGACCTCAAAATTGTTACTTTTGAACCTTCTTTGATTTGTAAGGTATGTCCCATTGATATAAAAAAAAAAGTTTATATCAAAAAAAAAAAAAAAGTTTATATTAAAAAAAAAAAAAAAAGTTTATACATATAAAAAAAAAAAAAAAAAAATTTTATAATAAAAAAAATTTTATGATGTGTATATATAATTGCCATAAACTATATAATATTCATACTAAGTTTCACAGCAGAAGTTCAGACTATTAGATAAGTATCTTAATATTTTAATACGATTGTTTTTTAATTGCAAACTTTTATTGACATACTTTTTTTTCATATCTACTACTTTTGTATAAAAAATTTTTTCAAAAAAAGAATTTGTGAAAAAAAGCAAACCTACATATACAAGGTTTTGCCTATTTAATTATTACGTAGTATGAATTACATATGAATTATATCATTTTCATTAAGCCTAACTACATAAAATCATGATGATTTAATTGATACTATTTTTGGCTTTATACTACCAATTAAGCTCAGCTAAACATGAATTTACTGTATAAAGTATATGTTGTAATTGGTAGTACATAATAAGTTACTTAAGAATAATATTATTATATAATATGAGATCAAGCAGCTTTTTGGATTAGTAGAGAAATGCTTTTAAAAACTGTTATAAATATAGTACAATGTACTACTAGTAGTATAGTGTGCTTCTATCCATTAAGTTTACCTTTCTCTTAGCTTTATTTAGTATGTTTCTATTTGGTACTCTTATTCTATATTTCTTTTTCTTGTTCTTACAAGTGACTTCACCTTTTTTCTAAAATTCTCTAGGGTTTTTCTTCTTTGCTAACTAAAAGTTTTATTACTCTTTTCGATTTAGTTATTTTGTTTATAAATTCTTTTTATTCATTATTTATATATAAATATTTTTTGATTTTTCTTACTAAATTTGACTAAAAGGTTTCTTTAACAAAAAAAAAAAATAATTACAAGGTTATATTTGTAAACTATAGTTTCTTTTCAAATAAGTTAATTAGAATTTTAAATAATACGTAGTAACAGTTCTCTCAAAAAAGTGAACAATCTAGAAGTTAAGTTAAAGTTCTCTAAAAAAGATAAACAATTATTAGCATTAGTGTTATAAGTTATAGTTCTCAAAAAAGCAAACAATCTAGAATATTAGATATAGATTGTAGTCTTCTAAAAGTTTACAAGCAAAAAATTTAGAGCCTTTTCATTTCTTGTTAAAAAAAATATTCAGAACTTTTTGTAATAAAACTTTTTTTTATTTTCTAAAAAAATCTATTAAATTTTCTTATTAAAAAATAAAAATCTTATAATTCAAACTTTTAAAATATCGTTTTTTGTAATTATAGAAAAATACTAAATAAAAATTTGTATTGGCAAATAGTATATTATTGTGCAGATAGTTGCAATAAACAAGAAATTGCTAAAATACTTTATATAAGTCAATTATCTATTAGTAGAATTCTTAAAACTTAAAATAAATAGAAATATGTTGTTAATCTATTTAAAGCTTTATAAGGTAGACAAAAATTATTTTCAGGTAAAGAATTAAAAATTCTTAAAAATTTAGTTAAAGAAAAGGCTAACTGGTACTTAGATGAACTTGTGGTTGAGATAGAGAATTTAACTAGTAAATATATGTCAATTTCAATATTGTAGCATTCACTAAAATATATAAGAATTACTCATAAAAAAGTAATTATTTAAATAAGTTTAAATATGCCTTATTTCACTGATACTTATTTTGTAAATATAATATTTTATTGACAATTAATTTACTGATATATTTGTTTTATAGACAACTAATTTCTAGACTAGCTTATTTTGTAGACAACTTATTTTATATATAGCTCATTTCCTGATAAGTTAATTTCAAATAATTCTTCTAACCTTAACCTAACTCTAACTCTAATTCTAATAGTAATAATATTAGTAAAATGAGCTGTTAGTAAAATAAGTTGTTTATAAAATAAGTTTGTTTAGGAATTGGTTGTTTGTAAAACAAACATGTCAGTAAATTGATTGTTGGTGTTCACGAAATAAGTATTAGTAAAATTAACTAAACTGATAAGTTTTATATGTATCATGATAAATTTGCAGAATTTGATATTTATCAAATTTAACTAGATAAATCTTTTTATATAAATTGAAATATATGTAGCTCTTGATATAACAAAGGTCATAATTTTAAAGCTTCATAGCATCAAATCTCATAATAATGTCAACATAAAGTGACAATCTAAAAAATTAAAATTAATTAAATTAAACATTTTAGTTCATTTTAGTTCACATGTAGAAATTCAAATTACATACATAGTCAAAATCTTGTTTGGAACAAGTTAACAACCAGATTGTGCTATTTTTAGACTAGTTTTATTTTGTATAACAAAGTTATGTTTATCTCATTGTTGATCTACCAAATTCAGCGGTTTCTACTTTTGACCACCCATATACTTTTCATATAGTATTATAAATTCTGTTAGAATTGTAATAGATTAAAATACTTGAACTGTCTATTATTCTTACAAGATAGCATTGATGAACATGTTCAATTCCTACTTGAAAGGTTGCAAAAGCTTGATGATAAAAAAAAAAAATAAATAAAGTATGTACTAAAGAATCAGAAAAGAATATTCTTTGTGATGATGTGAAATCGAACCTGTGAAATATAAAGCACTTTCATTAGAAGAGGCATTACAAAAATTTCAATGCTAATAAATAATTCCACTTTATAATTTGTATATTTAAAATTTTGAACCTTTATTGTAATTTCGGAATTTACACATAAAAATAATAAAAATAAAATACAGTAAAAAAAATAATAATAATAAAGTATATTTTTTTGCATGTTGGTTCGTGCATAAGCAGTTATGCCATTATTGGGTCGTAATTATAATGAATTACAGTAAAAAATGCCATAATTTATTATAATTAGAAACCAATTACAGCATTGCATTCACATCTCTATGTGTAAGTATGCGACAAAGTTCTAGCGATTTGACTTCTGTAATGTGCAAGAAGATATTAAGATCTGTCATTAGCATAATAGTTAAATGGTAAATATAAAGTTTTTTACCAACACTTACAGTAAAGAGCATCTGCTTCGCCTTTGTTAGTGGGCCGTTTTTGGAATTTAATACTTATAACGCTTATATAGTAACTATTATATAATAAATAGAAAAATTCGCTTCTAAGTGAAGTTCGTGGGGTTACTGATTATTTTTGAAGTGAATCTAAGCGTTCTTTCGAAGCGAAAAATGCAGTGATTTTTTATTAGTGAAACATTACGTTCTTAAAAGTACTTTAAAGTGTATAAATAAGTTACCCGGTCAATTGATTTACATCAGCCAATCAGACGAATGTCTCCCTATGAACCCAGATATGGTAAAGCCGGGTAGATTACGTGAAAAATCATTATTTTATTAACATTAGGGTTAGGGCCCTTTCATGTTAGGGTTAGAGTCATTAATGTAGGTAAAAATTTCCCTCCCGACATTTTTTATTAATGCACTAACGTGGGTTTCTCCTTGTTTTTCGTCGGCCTGATCCGGATTTATCAAATTTTCGCGATTTTATTGGTTGATCATCGCGGAACCCCCAGATATGGAAAATTAAAATATAGTGTCACGTATGCAATACAATATAAATGCATTTTATAATCACGACTAATAAGTTCACTACGTAACAACATCATGTCAAATACTTCAGAAGAATGGCTCAAAAGAGCCATTTCAGATGGACATATTAATTATCTCGAATATAATGAGTTTACAAATTGTAAAATAATTGGTACAGGAGGTTTTGGAACAGTTTTTAAATACGAATGGAAAGAGTGCGAATTAACAGTTGCTCTCAAATGTCTTAAGGTCGATACAAATTTAGATGAAAAAATCATTAAAGATTTTATTAATGAGGTATTATTTATTAAATTATATTAAAACTGAAATTACATCTAATATTGATACTAAATTATTGATAATTTATATAATCCATGTAATAAAGCTTAAACTATTAAGAAGAGTTGGTTACCATCCAAATATTATTACATTCTATGGAGTCACTAAAGGTATATCTCTCTTATATTTTAAATACTGTCAACTCTCTCTAAATTGAACCTGGGCAAATTGAATGTTTAATAGACTTTGTCTAAACCGAATTATAAATTATAAATTATATTTTAAAACTTCGTATTATATTTTGTAAACAGAAATTTTTTAAATTTTTCTTAATAACATCGGTATAGGGAGAATTGACTTTATATTAAAACACAATTATACTAAGAAATTTATTATAATACAAATAGACAGCAATGGATATTATAATATAGTTTTACAATATGCTAATGAAGGAAATTTGCGAGAATATCTAAAAGCAAATTTTATAAAACTACAGTGGGCAGATAAATTATATATTGCTAAAAAGATAGTGCTTGGTCTTTTATTCTTGCATAGAAATAATATTATTCATAGAGACCTTGTAAGTATATTATAATGGCTTTTTGTTTATGAAATTTTAATTTTATTTTTCTTGTAAATTTTAATTCGTTCATTCTTTTATAAAATTAATTCCTTTGCATATTTCATAGCATTCAAAGAATATTCTAATACATCAAAAACAACCAAAGATAGCTGATTTTGGATTGTCAAAACAGATAAATGAGACATCAATGACTTCGAATTCAACTGCTCATGGAGTAACAGCATATATAGACCCTAAATTCCTTGGTGATCGTGAGTATAAACGTAATGTGAAATCTGACGTTTATAGCTTTGGGGTAATTCTTTGGGAAATTTCAAGTGGAAAACCACCATTTCAGACTTTCGAGACAAGAGAACAGCTTGCTATTCATATTTTCCTTGGAAATAGAGAAAAACCAATAGAAGGCTCACCACCTCAATACATTGAACTTTACCAGCAATGTTGGGACAAAGAACCTGCTAATCGTCCCGAAACAAATTTGATTCTTAAAACTTTAAATCAACTTACTATTTGCGAAGATTCAAGTCAGTCTAGCACAAATGAACAAAATTATGAAACTTTAA